TAATCCTCATCATAGGATAGTTGAAAGACTCCGTACTCTAATCGATTACAGTACCTGATGAGACTAAGGATGTCCCCGCTGCAGAAGCGATGTTGGTGCTGGTTTCCGTTTCGAGATGAGTCAATTCTCGCAGTCGGGCTTCGTACACAGCCGCATTGCAACCGTTAGAAATGTGGCGGCCGATTTCATAGGCGGAGAGCGATGCTGGATATTCGGTAGAAGCTTGATTCATTCGATAAACGAAAGCATTCTAAGTTTAAAAATTTCATTGTCTGAACGAACTTTAAATGAATCTTGGGCGTAAAAATTCAGAATTATATACAGCACGAAATAAACGCTTAAAAACAAACACAAGCCAACAAAAACCTGCTTTTGAAAATGACTGGATGCACAGCACATAAATGAATTCTCTACTAGAACATGAACACGCATCTACCACAAACTCACTTCAGAGGTAAATCTCAAAACAGCGTTGAAAATTTGTGACTATAACAGAATTAATTAGGACCTGAAAAAATTGTGGCCTTCTTAAATTCAGTAGAATGAGTAATTCTTGCTGGTATGCATTCGTCGCCCTGTCACTGAGTTGTACAGTAGCGCCTAAAATGAAGTTTGGCAACCGAAAACGCATTACCAGACACAAAAAAGTCGGTTTAGCTGATGCTCATTAAGAATAAAGGCAGCGCTCTTTCCTTGGAAGGTTAAGAACCGGAAACGTGCAAATAAACCTTCAACAAGAACTGTAGTCGTAGGGGTCGTGATCTTTAAGAAATGGTACTCACATGCCGCTCATATATTCATGAATTTTGGCGAGCTTCTTACACTCTCAAACAGATGACTAGAACTCGCGCACCGGCGAATATCCTAAACCATATAATTTATTCTCGCATAATTATTATTTTCCGTTATGCTGATTTCTTCACAACCAATTTTGCGCACTGCGGTGAGAAATCAGAACAGCCGGAATAATGCGCGGCAGAAAATCCTTATGCATAACCGTTACGATCGAAGTAAAATATACAGTACTCAGTAGCTTCACTCACCGAATTTGTTTACCTTAAGACTCTGTGTAATGGTAACCGCGTATCTGTCGGGTGAGAAGTTTCGAATTAGCATTCCAGATGTCCAACAGTAGCGACGCATAGTAAACGTTCCTGGCCATCGCAGTGACGTGCCAACGAGGGCAGCGCGCAGCAGAGTGAAGCGGCTGTTTGGCGTGAAGGAGCGGAAAATACGATTCAGGATTGGCCCCCTAAACGTCACCCTGGCAATGCCCGCGGCCTTCGTCAGGACATTGCGACTAACCAACAGCGACCGCGTACTCCCAAAAAAACGAAAGAATTCGAAACGAGCAAGTCTGACCATTCGGCCAGCGTACGCTAACAGCCTGAACATTTCCACCTTCGACCGCTACCCTAGAAACTGGAAAAGTGAAATGTATTATAGGCAGCGTAAACAACCGATGACCACTAAATTGGAATAAAATTCAAACTAGGGTCCATGATAAATTACTCTGAAGTTGAATAAGTTCTGTTAGCCTTGAAAAACGATAGCAGAACTGAACAACAACGAAATAAACTTTGACAATACATAATTAAATAAGACAGCGTTAGAGCAGCGGCCAAACTTCCAAATAAGACACAGATTACAACACATCGGTAAATTTAAGGACACACATTACAAAATCAATCAAATAAGTTACCTCTAATCTGGCCCTACTTTCGTGAATATCACCAATCAGCTGATCTGTTCAGCCAACGATACTCCATTTCTGGCACTAAAACTCATCTAGTACCGAAGGATTTCAATACCTGAAACGTCTTCCGCAGTTTACAACAAATTTCCGCCACCTCCGTACAAGCACTACCAACTGAAAATGCAGAATGTTTTTGTGACCGTCAACGAAGACGAGGAAATCAATATGCACGAGTTTACCACCGTACAGATATTATGATTTGCAGGTATTGTAGCAGCTACATATTACGGTAGCTGAAAGGGTTCAGAGTGTCTACGAAGGTAGACGAGGGCAAAAGTTAATGCTACTTATTGGCGTAACCTTGTTTTGTGCTTATTGTTTTGTTGTTGTCTTTTTGCTTATGCAGGTGTGAGATTTCGCTGTATATTTCTATTTCAACGGCATTCAAGGATTGCAGTTAATAGGGACTTTTGAACTGAAATATGGAAGCTTTGGAATTTCTGTTTTTTTGTGCGCTCAGTTTACATACAAACAAGTAACATACAAAAAAATTTGCCGCTAATATTTTGCCTGGTGTTAAGTTAGGTTCTGCAGCTTAAATCGAGATTTCGGTTCTTTCTTTGTTGCATAGGCCTAAAATCTGGTCATTAGATTTGCCTTCATATTAACTAATGATTTAGGTTTATTGTTTTAACAGCAGCTCTTGACATCGGCGCAGAATGGTCTTTTCATAAGTCAAAAAATGGAAGTACAGAAGGTCCATAGCCAAAGCAAAGACATGGTCACATTTCGTGGCTCCTGTTCAGACTATATACACTCAGCTTTCTTTCAGTAGCTGCGTGAGAACCATGCTTAGACACTTTTGTACCTGTATCCTTCTGGGATTTCTGTTTGTTCTATAGTTACCTCTTTTGGCTGTATTGTCTTGCCTGATTGTCTCGAGCTTCTTGAATTCTGCCCCCTCCTTTTTTTACTTCGCCCATTTCTCGGCCCAGACTTCTGACATCTTGTCATGAACTGCTGGACAGTGGTTTGTGTGTGGCATTCTCCAGCTAACGGTACAGGATTCAAATCGGACAGTTGGGCTCTTACGAGAAACTCTTCAGTTGATTACAAAAAAACGTTATTACACTTAGGTGTTCTTATACATGAACATAAGAATAGATTTGGGAGATTTTGAAATGATCTCATCATACAGACGATTGATGTGAGTGCCGTTGAAGGTACCAGGACTGTAAAAGGTGGTGAAAGTGGTCGTAGTACCGCTTTTTCTCTGGGTGAAAATGATTGCATTTTGATGTGACACAACCAGCTTCAGTTGTGGTGAATTAATTGCAAGACTTCTTTTGCTGTCGAGCCATAGGGTTAACCAACGAGGTTCGGAGAAGAAATAGATCAGTTTTGACCTGAAAACGAAATACCAGCAGTACAATTTACATGCTTTTATGTGTGATGCTATTTCGAGTCGGTGAATGTTGCTGAATTAATTCTGGTACAGAATTGAACTTTAAGCAGATCTAATTACTGGCATGGGATCTTAAAGTAGACCCAGTAATGAGTGCATGGGCATCATAGGAAACTGAGTCATTAAAAAATGACCTGAAAGAAAATTAGGACGTTCGACTGACGATGATTCCGATTTAGTGCCTGAAGAAATATGCCTTTAGTAAGAAATCTTCTAACTGCAAGATTGCAAGATTGAAGTCACCAAGATTAGTTGAAACATTTTGCTTGGTGTTGACACTTTCTTTACGCTGGGTTACTTCAAGTAGCACTGGTGCTTTTTTAGTATACCGAAAGGTCTTTAAGTATATTTTCTTCGAGAGTCTCAATGAACGCCGTTGATCAGTTTAAGATTTTTTGGCGATTGAAATGGGTTGCCAGAACTTGACATAGTAAGCCACTAGAAATATGGCACTCATTGGTGATGACACGGAAACCGCATGTGTAAGCGTTCCTATACTTTCGTTTAGTAGCCAGTACTCTCGACCATTTGACAGTAGAGTGCAATACAGTAGTACTTTATTACTATGCTTACCAATAATTTCTAAGGCTCTTACCGTTACCCTGCCGTAGATGACTTGAAGGTGATAGGTTTTCTGATTCCATGGTTGGCAGCACGAGAAAACAATGCTTTTTATGCTTATATATTGAATTGAATTTATGTTTTATAACTCTGGCATATAACTGGGTTGTCGTTGCTTATAGTCAAGCCTCCTCAGTCAAATAACCATGCTTAAAGCTATGCGGAAGTCACAGCTGCGTCGCCTGTTCTGCGATCGTTTGCTGTGCACGTCTTCCATATTATTCCGACGACCGGATGTGGCGAGTCAAGACCCGATCCAGCGGATTTTCATCGAAAAGCTGCGGGAATTCATGACCAAGCAGGAACAGACGGGTGCCGGTCGTTTTGTCGACCCGCAGCCGCAGTTTCTGAACGAGTATAACGAGGCGTTACAGCGAATCCAGCGCATTCACGCAATCACCGAGGAGGTCACCACCTTCCCGAAGATGAGTTTTGCTGAACCGATGGTGAACATCATTAGAGTCGAGGAAGAAAAACCGTTGGAAGATATGGACAAGCAGATTGAAAAGGAGGAGAAGACTATCGCCAGCTCCTACTTCCCGCTGCAAGTCGTCAAGATGGAGACCAAAGGCTACGCTCTTGAGGCGCTGACCATGGATGGAAGTTACCAGGAACCGGACGTGAAGTCGGTGGTCAACGACCCGATGTTGTTGTCGACGGTCGACGATGAAATCATGGGCGCTGATGACTTCATAATCAAGTTTCAACACTTGGACACACGCCCGAAAATACCTGATCAGAAGCTAATCGAAACGCCGCAGTCGAAAGATTTCGAGCTGAACTTCTAGAATAGTTTTTCGAAAGTTTTC